CAGTCCATCCTAAAGGAGATCAGTCCTGGGTGTTCATTGGAAGGACTGATGTTGAAGCTGAAACTCCAATACTTTGGCCACCTGATGTGAAGAGCTGACTCATTGGAAAAGACCCTGATGCTGGGAGGGATTGGGGGCAGGAGGAGAAGGGGACGACAGAGGATGAGATGGTTGGATGGTATCACTGACTCAGTGGACATGGGTTTGGGTGGACTCTGGGAGTTGGTGATGGACAGGGAGGCCTACTGTGCTGCGGTTCATGGGGTTGTAAAGAGTCAGACATGACTGAGCGACTGAACACATACTTTTAAAAACTAAATGCTGATATAATATATTGTTGGTCTTTCTTGGTTCTTCTCTTTAACTTTTTGAGATAATTGGTGCACATATGATTGTAAGAGACAATACAGGGAGATCCCACGCACCCTTCAGCCAGCTTCCCCCAATGGTGACGTCTTGCACGTCTACAGTGTAACATGCCAATAAGAAAACTGACATTGACACAGTCCACCAACCTTATTCGCATTTCTCCTGTTTTATTTACATTCATGTCTCTCTGTGTGTGTGTGCGTGCACATGTGTGATTATACTAGACTATTTTAAACATGACTAATTCAACTGCCCTAAGTTTCAAAAATGAAAATGGTACAAGGTAAATCCAAGTACTGGGATGTCTAGAGATGAGTTTGGTGTTGATTGGCCAGAAATCGATACCTGTTCTCAATAGCACAGAATGCTGTGTGTATCATTACCAATTACATATATAAGTGTGAATATATTTTTTTAAATGAATTCTTTCAAATGAAGCAATTAAAAAAATCTCAGCTACGTTCGATATGCCAAGAATTTCAAAATTACAGATATTGTTTTGGAACAGTTTCAATGAAGCAATCAGATTTTAATTTGAATCAAAATAATACAGGCTGCATACAGTTATCCAGATGGATTACTACTGATCCAATGAGCTATTTTTGAAACTTTAAGATAGGATCTTTTGAGAAAAAGAATAATAGCTACATCCTCATTTGTAATGTTGCACTGACTCAGAACTGGCAGATATGTCTGATACTACTTCTAATGTGTGTGTGCTAGACCTCCTGTGTCTTTGGTTGGAGTGTTTCACATAAATGTCTTGAGCATGCTCATAAGATCATAAAGTTGCAGCTGCAAAAAATGTATGTTTAATCTTCATGTCTGTGGCCCATCGGGTTGTAGCCACCCATTCGATGCATTCATGCAAATTCGCTAGTCATGCATTTTACTCTGATACCGTTTATACTATTGAAGCACTTACCGTGGTACAGAAAAGGGAACAACCTTTCAGGGCAGGACAGAGGCAGCAGGAGAGGTCAGAAACTGACTTGTAACTGAAGAGAAGAGTTTGCATAATCAAGAGAAGGAGATAATTGCCTCAGATTTACTTTATAATTTAAAGTGTCTTTTTCCACTAAAGTGTCTATTTAACAAAAGTTGTTTAACAATGTTAACTGCACTTTTCATCGAAGCCTGCGTTTATATGGTTTGCACACACCTACAGAGATTCAAAAATGTGTCAGTTTGCAATTGGGAATCATGTGTACTTGCATTGTTGTGACCTCTGTTGAAATCTCAGGTGGATGCTTAAGCATTACATTTTCATTTGGAGTTGAGAAATAAGAGATAAGCTTTGGAATGAGAGTTTCCAAGAGTCTCTGTTTTGCTTTTGGGAGGTAGTGGAGACATGCCAAGTCAATATTCTTTGTAAAATAGTTATTATTTATTTAATTTATGTATTTGGCTGCACTAGGCGGGTCTTAGATGCAGCACGTGAGAGCTCTGGTGGAGATTAAGATGGGGAACACATTCAGAAAGCAAGGTGAATTTCTCAACATGACAAATATTATTTAGCATGATTCCGAATGACATGTAACCATCCAAGACCACTGGTGTTTCCCCACCCAGGGTGTCGTGAATGGCCAGCAGTCTAATTTCACAACAGGGTCAGAAGGACATCGCCAGGTCCCTCCCGTCCCAGGATGTCTCCCCCGTGCTGTGTGCCTGCTGCCCCAGAGGAGAGCTTCCACGGGTTTGGACCGAGCAGATGCAGACGTCACCTGAAAAGGGAAGGGGGCATCTCTCTGGAGGAGCAGGTGTAGCTTTTGGGAAAGGAGAATGTGGTGGAAGGCAGGGAGGGTGATGCCTCCTGGGTTTGGCTGTGGGCACTCACTGCGGTAAGGAATCCCCCCCCTCCCAACCCTGCCCCGTCTTCTCCAGCATCTCCATTCCTGGCATCCCAGCATGTCTTCGATACAGAGCTGTTCTCTCTCTCTGAACTTGTCCTCTGTAGTTGATAGATCCTTGGAGTGTGTTGCAGCAACAACCAAAGATGTGTAAGAGACAGCCTGTTTGGGAAGCCTCCTCAGAGGCTGTAGTTCGTGGGCTCTTGAACAGCTCAGATTAGAGGTGATCAGGTCCTCTCTGCTTGCTATCACTGTCCTCCTCTCCAGGCTAAGACAAAAACTCTTCATGCGGTTTAGTGAATCACTCTAAAGCTTAGAAAATCAGCCTCATTCATCATTTCTGCAGCTGACTTTTTAAAGAAAAAATTGTTTCCTAGACACGTGAGATCCCGCCATTACCTGCTCACTTTTTACTAAGGCAGCTGTGTCTGTATGCTTCTTTATTTTTTTTAATGTTTGTCAAGAGCTTGGTGGTGCACTCTGTGAGTCCAAAGTAGTCACCAGCCCTGGCATGTGAAAGGCCCCTGATGTAAATGACAAGTAGAGTCGGTTTCCAGCATGACACACAGGCAGAGAATCTTAGCCTAGTGGCCGGGGCTGTCATCAGGAAAAACAGCTAGAAAGTTTGTTTGATTTGGATGGCTGCTTTGGGAGGGCTCTTTCAGTTCCTTCTTGCCTCGCTTTGTAGGCCTCTAACCCTGAGAGGCTGAGATAAATGGGCTTAGCATGCTGAATGGTGGGGGTTGGAGGTGGGGTATGGAGCCGACCTCTGCAAGGTGAGAAGGAAGTTACAAGAAGTGGGCTGCCACGCAGAATTGTATATTACTTTCCCTTGTACAGGACGTGCCCTTTAGTCTCTAGGGAAAAGTGGTTAAGACCAGCTGGCTCGATTTCCTTACCCCCCCTGACTCTGTGAGTTTAAAAAAAGCAGAGAAGAGTTAGGAGAACCTATGAATGGCAGAGGTTTTAAAAGGGGGAGGGGTGGGGAGAGTGGAGGATGACAGCTGACCTTAATGTTCC